CGGACGGATGGATGGATGGATGGATGGATGGATGGATGGATGGCTGGACGGATGGACGGACGGACGGATGGATGGATGGATGGATGGATGGACGGATGGATGGATGGACGGATGGATGGACGGACGGACGGATGGATGGATGGATGGATGGATGGATGGATGGCTGGACGGATGGACGGACGGACGGATGGATGGATGGATGGATGGAAGTTGAGTCTGAGCTTTCCACAGTCTGATGTTGGGGGGGGGGGGGGGGGAGCGGGGGGGGGGGAGGGGGTGTGGGGAAGGGTGGGCGGGGGTGGGAGGGGGGGGGGGGGGGGGTAGTCTGGTGGGACGTCCACTCATGAGAAAATGGGCAGCTGTCCTAAATGTCTTCCAGTGAAGAAAAGAACAGAGTAGGATGGAACCATCCTTTGTCTCCTGGACTGCAAATAGCTTGGAAATGACCTTTGATCCTTCCCAGATTGATGGGCAGTGTTCTCTTAGGTCATTGCTGATGTCTTTCCATCTTGGCAGTGTGCTCCAGATCAGAACTGGTTCCACAGCTACTGATCAGTGATCAGCAGCAGCAGTGAAGACGTTTGAAAAACATTGAGTTCACTGCACGATGGATTTCAGCTGCCCTGCTTCAAAACGATCTCCGTCCGTCCGTCCATCCATCCATCCATCCATCCATCCATCCATCCATCCATCCATCCATCTGTTATCTTCCTCTTGTTCTGGACTCAGGTCTCGGGGCAGCATCTTGAGCAGGGAGGTGGAGACATCTCTCTTCACATGGTCTCTCCAGAGTCCTGGGTCTTCCCGGGTGTCTCCTCCCAGTCGGTCATACCTGAAAAAAGACTGAAGTATGTCTTGTTTGGAGGGGCCAAGTTTCACCTGAAGGAAGTACAAGACTTCTTGGACCATGTCCTCTGGACACGTGATGAACCCAGTGTCCAGTAGATATTTACAGGAGTTTAACTAGAGTCTCAGAGGAAAACCAAACCTAAAGAAGAAGATGAGAGTAAAGTGACAGGAGAGGCCACAGCACACCAGTTAACACACGGCACACAGTGAGAACCTGAAGGAAGGCTGCAGGACCGCAGAGACACCGGCTGACTCTTGGTTATTAGGTGCAGCAGATTGAAGCCCGACATGGCTGCTGGACACTAAACACCGCTCAGCAGGACCAGAACCAAGGACTGGGCTGGATGAAGGTAGAGTACAGAGGATGGACAGCATTAGACACGATGATAAGGACCAGGTCCGTGAGACCATTGGGGCCTGTCTGTGAATAACCTGAGAAGCACAGATCTAAGAGCTTCTCATCAGTTTCCAGATCTTCAGTAGCAAGGACAAAGGTGAAATCAGAACAGTGACATCATTGACCACTTCTGTTTTGAGGAACTTGATACCTGCGTGGCAAAGTTACAATGATTCATTTCTATTTTTAAAGACTCTTTTTCCAAACTCATGCATGAACTTTGAGAAGTATCTGATTGTGACACATTCAGGTTGACCCTCAGTCATCCAGGACGTACTGGACTTCTGATTCTTGAAGACATTTCACGTCTCGTTCAAAGGCTTCTCCAGTTCTGGTCGGGGTTGTGAGTGCCAGACGTATGGGTCATAACGAGGACAGGAACAGGGCTGTGAGGTCACATGAGTAGCTAACCCTAACCTCTTCATCCTGCGAGTGGATCGAGTTGGACACTACCACCACCGATGAAACCCTGCTGAGGCTCCTCGGCTACGCAAGGAAGGAACAACTCAGACCTCTCAGCAGCATCAACTCCTTTAACTTTGTCAAATTTCTTTACTGCCAAATTTAGTTCCACTGGTGGGCAACGCCCCACATCACATGCACAACTGGATTTTACCAACAAGTTGCAAACTGAAGCTGGTCCAGCTTTAACGGACGTATTGTTTGAAGCCCTGTCACTTCTCACCTGCTGACACATTTAGCTGTGGAGGAAAGGTCTCCAAACAGACAAGCAGCTTGAAGAGCAGCGTCAGCCTCACCTGGACAAGATCTGCACCTGACAGAGACCGGAATGGACCACGGGACTGTGGCACTCTACATGAAGGAAGTGGACAAGAGAGCCTGGACTCAACAACCCAGAGCAGTCACAGGAGAACTCTGGTCACCAACAACTGTTGTTGCTCAAAGGATCAGAGCTGAAGAAACCTTGGGGATGACAGCCCAAACGTCCACTGAATCACTTGGTCCACTGAATCACTTGGTCCACTGAATGAATCTCTTGGTCCA